GAAATTCTCTATCACGAATGATGGCGTTCGTGTTCTCTGTGTTATATTTGAGGATCTTGTTTACCGGCACAGCCTAAGTGAGGATACCTTCCTTTTTCTTCTGGTGATCAACTGGATTATGGTGACCTCAAAGTCTGACGGGAAACACGGAATACAATGGACAGCTCGGAATCACCTGGACGATTCGGACTTCGCAAATGATCTGGCCCTTCCATCCCATACACATCTACAAATGCAGGTGAAGACAGCCAGTGTGGCAGAAGCCTCTGCATCTGTAGGCCTAAACATACACATGGGGAAAACCAAGGTCCTCAAATACAGCACACACAACACCAATCAAATAACACTTGATGAGGAAGCTGTGAAATCTTTCACGTACCTGAGAAGCATCATCGACGAACATGGAGGATCTGATGCAGTCGTAAAGACAAGGACTGGCAAAGTAAGCTCAGCATTCCTACAATTCAGGAGTATATGGGACTCAAAACGACTGTCAACCGATATCAAAGTCAGAATCTTCAATACGAACGTCAAGACATTTCTACTGCATGGAGCTGAAACCTGGAGAACTACTAAAATCATCACCAGGAGAGTACAAGTATTTATAAACAGTTGTCTGTGGAGGATACTCAATATCCGTTGGCCGGATACCATCAGCAACAGCCTACTGTGGGAGAGGACAAACCAGCTTCCATCTGAGGAGGAAATTAGGAAACGACGTTGGAAATGGATAGGACGAACATTGATGAAATCACCAAACTGCATCACGACGCAAACACTTACTCGGAATTCTGAGGGGAAACAGAAAAGAGGAGGGCCGAAGAACACATTACATCAAGAATTGGAAGCAGACATCAAAAGGGTGAGTAGCGATTGTAGAAAACTGGAAATGATTGCCTAGGATAGTGTTGGATGGAGAGTGCTGTTGGTCGGCCTATGCCTCTTCATGTGTGGTAAGAGGAATAAGTAAGTAATCTTATTTGTGTTGAATTAGATCGTAGTTAGGTTATAACTCATTCGTATGAAACCACCGAAAATCTAAATTAAGGTAAGATGAGCTATTACAAATTGTATTTTTTTATTATCTTATTTTGTATCCGATAATTTGATCTCTTTATTTTTATCTATCTAGATGGACAAAAGATTCCTGAATGTTAATTTATACTGAATTAACCGTTTTAGACTTACAAATTCATTCTGATAATGGAATTTTTGCTACCTTATATCACTTCCAGTAGTGTAATGCAGTCATCTCCCGTGCATGTGAATTTATATAAATCTATCCGTGTGTATGTGTGTATATATGATTGTATAACTATGAATGTATCAGAGTATGTTGTGACAAATTTAGTTTTCTAATAGGTGAATTTGTGAGTCGATTTAAACTAGACCACTTTTGGAAACCTGTAAGCACTGGACGGCAGTTTCATCCTAGTATGTGACTCCTCATTAGTGAGCACACACGATCCCCTTAGTGGGACTTGAACTCAAGACCTTAGGTCTTGCGCACGAACGCTTGACCTCTAGACCACAATTAGACTAAAATTATTCCGTTTTTCGATTTACAATATTGGTTTAAAATTCAATGTCGTAAATAGTTAAGTAAACTTGGTAAAATGTTCGTAATTGTGCGTATTTTACGGACTAACGACCAATCAACTCATTGTAAAAATGTGTTCCCATATTGACTTGTGCATGATATTCACACGGTAACCAACAGTGAGAAAATACGTGATATGGATTAAGTTTCATCAGCAAATTTCTAAATAGGTAAACTTACACATTACTGAAAGTTGCATATTTTCAAGATGATGAGATTGGTTCCAAAATATCGAAACATCCCTACAATGTGTCATATGTCGTCGGATTGATAAATGAATGACTAGTCAACTTTTTTTAGTTTAACTTAAATAATTTACAAAGTCATAGACTATACAACTGAATGCGCAATCAATTAGTACATTAATTTTGCATTCACGTTTTGAGCTTGATATTGTGTTTATAAAATGAATTTATTGATGACACTGCATGAGCGCCTATTCAAAAGTTGTCAAAGCTAGTTGTAACACATTATTTCAGTGTTTAAAATTCTAATTTTTTCAAATATTATACTTTTGCTTTATATATTAGTGGTCGAGATCAGATATTGTTATTTGATACCTTTACTTTAAACAAAGACTGGTCAAATTGTCAATTTTTCATGGTATATTCATCAATAATCAATAAATTATTTACAAACGTGATATAGATGGCCAGATACATAAATATCCGAGTTCTTTTAATCCAAAATTAAAACAATTTTCTTTCAAATTAAAAGATTTTAATAAACGATGTAATCGATATTTATCAACCAGTAGGGCAATTAATTTTCGAAAGCAAACAAAGAATATATATGAAGTTGCTTAAAGTTAGAAACAGTAATAGTGATAAAATATATTACACTTGGAAAAAATATTCTACTCATTTTATTTTGTGTGGCGAATACTGAATAAATTATACACTAACCTTATTAAATTATCTTAGATAATAGTAATAGCTTTCAGTATGACAAGAACTCAAATGATTATATTTGTTTTTTTGATTTGTAGAGAAAAAAACAGTTATTATGACCACTCTAACAATAAAAACAACTAATCTGAATGAAACATATACAAAAATGTGTATTATACTTTACGAACTGACTTTTAATGATTTAAGTAATCTATTGTACATTTCAACGTATAGACAATGTGTGAAATTATTGTTTATGATAAATTTGAAGATAACACTCGCTGCCTACTGACAATAATTGAGGTACCAAGTTAAAATAAAAGACACCAGATAGTTGTTTAGCTCAAAATTAGTGCTCCTCCAAATCATACATCCACTATTCTACGGGACAATGAGCTTAGAACATTAAGCTCTGATGATGAGTACAATATCCTTGAACCACTAAGTTAGCATACGAAAGGTTTATATTTGTAATTTTAGTCAATCAACGATATACAGTTACCCCTATTAAACGTAATCAGTGTTAACAATCTCATTCTCAAAAGGGGTTAAAAACAGAGCCGAATAGTCAGTGATCAAATAAGTTCATAGTTCCCCACAGATGACATCCAATTATAATCAGTCGATTGCTTATGACACGATCAACAGAATTCGACTAGGAAAATATGACACTGGTCACTACTCAGTGATTAATCAGTTGTAACTGAAAGAGGCTTGTTAAGTATCTTGTCATATAATTCCCACAGGTTTTTTATTGGATCAATGGATGGGAGTTTAGTTTAATATCAACAATGTTAAAGGTCAGAAACAACATACAAATTCCAATATCGCGAATGCATTAACTGGTTATCTTTTAGAGAACCTTACAATATTAATTAATTTTCATTTGTCCTTCGTCTTAAAATCCACATCCTTCTGAGTTATAGTGTTACTTTTTTCTGTAGCATATTTAAATTTAAAAACCATAAACAAATGAAACATAAAGATATTACTTATCACACCGTTGTTAGTATTCACTAACGATAAATCCCAAATTAAAATATGACAGGTATCTGTTGCTCCCTGATATTCAACAGTTCTTCAGCTGACGTTATTCTTCGAAAAAAGATAGCAAAATTCTCAGTGAACTAATATTTTGGCAATTCCCCTACCTTAAATTAATGAGACATCCTGAAATGACTGTATAATGATCTATTTTTTTATCCATTTAATGTGAAAGAGCTGATAAAGCTAAGATATATGATGGAAAGTTTACTTAGCTTACATGGTCAATCAGATCACATTGATAGTATTAAGAGTATAAATAATCAAGTGAACAGAAAACTATAATTTATAATCATATTGTGGTGTGAGCTACTTATATTGATATAAGTAGTATATAACGTGCGCTAAAAGAACATAACGTCTGGCAGCGGAAGATGGCAAAGATCAAGAAAGGTAGAGCGAGAACACAATGGAATTTGTAAGAAAATGCATGAACAATGGAATGGGAGACAATGGATTGGTGTTTGCAACAGAAACAGTCCAGTTTGGTTTGATGCATGAATATTTTGCAAATTGATGATTTACTATATGGTATTCAGATTTTGTTGAGATGGACTGTAGTCGTGGTAAATACATTTGATTGTCCCCACTCGTGTACTTGTTCACTACAGTATTAGTAAATTATTTCGCTGTACACTTAGTAAATTACCAGCCAGTTTTCATAATGGAACAAAAACGATTTTGTTCAGTACATTACAGTTACACTGGTATATTATGATTTTTGCCTCGTATTTCATGTTCATGATAGTATAAATCATAAAGCTCTTATACCTGAAAACCGTCAGGCCAGTTCATACATTTAAAATAATTTGAATGAGATTGGTTTCTTTAATGAATATTAGATTATTTGTGTAAGGGGTTTGTTGTTTACATCACTACTTGACATCAATGAGATAACTTCTGATAACTAAAAAGTACAAGACACTTGTTTCATCATACTTTAGAGCTCCTCAGCTATGCATAGGGAGTCTCACAACAGAACGAAACAAACGTTCGGTTCTTCTTGGTTTTTAGTACCCATTTAATAAAGGTTAATTCATTGTGTAAACTATAAAATAGATATAATTCATTTTGTATTGGTTGTTTGAATCTTCCCATTGATGTTTAGGACTGCAATTAGATTAAAACTTTACCCAATTGCACATGCTAGTGGCTATCTAAACTCATTCGCTAAGTGAATCACACGATGTCGTTTGAAGCTAACAATACTGGGTTTGAGTCACGGAATGAACATCAAATCTGAAATGCAGGTACATCCAAATGATGAGTCCTAAGTAGGACGAAACGCACGTTCTGGATTCCATTACTAGCCACAATCCATTTCTGCTCATAAAATAGTTGTTTTTACTTGAGCTGTAGCGTAAAACGGAATGAAAAATCTTTCAAAAAAATCTCTATCCTACAAACAAGCTCTTCTTGAACAAGGTTCTAATTTGTGCATTTATTTATTCTATCTAAACTAGCAGAAAAATATAAAGAATTACCATATGTACGTACAGAGGATATGACAGGCAATATGGAAGCTTTTCTGAATGCATATGGTGATCCAAATCAAACTGTGCAATTTGCTGGTAAGCTTTCTAAAAAACAATATTCATACTGTCTGTATATGTATTTCACACCATGATTGGAAATTACTAAGTCTGAAACGACTTTTTCCCCATGGATTGATTCTAATTAAATCCTCAATCGGAAGCTACACTCCATCGAATCAAATGTGTTTAGACTGAGATGTTTTCCCATGAATAATTTAAGATATAGGTCTTCATTAAAGCCTTGTATGTGTAATCTATTGAATTTAGACATAGTTTCCTGTAAGGTATCGTAATCGTAGGAAGAAAGTAATGTCCTGGGTAAAGTTACGGATATACAGGTTTGAGGAGTCACAGATTAAAATGAAATAACTATTCAGTGTTCATAATGTTTTCGAGAAATTTACATGCATTATCAGTCAGTCAGTGATGAAAAACATTGTCCTACATTACGAATTGACTGAAGACACGTAAAAAAAATTATCAAATATTCAATAAATAATTAGATTGGTCTGTAAAATATACAAACTGGAAATTAAATCAAACTTCACAAAATCCCTTTAACTAAACTAGAATAATCAGCTCACTAGTGACTTAATTCAGGATAAGTTCCTGAAGTTGTATTGTAAAGTTGAGACTAGTAGAGTTCAAGCATTTTGGAAGTAAAACATTTATCCCAAATGCCATTGTATAGTCTTAGAGCTTTACTCTAGATTTACTGTTGTTGGAATTATGTCATTGCTTATCTGTCCGCTAGTTTTAAAGGTCAAATTTTTGTATAAAACCTCGAAGTCATGGATTCAATCTCAGTCAGGGTTAAGGGTATTACAATTCTGAAGATTTTCATATTAAGACAAAACAATAAATTAGTTCTACCTAGTTTAACATGATTCTTTAAATCAAACCAATACTCTACAATTACTGCAGTGAACAAGAATACAGGCGGGGACAACCAGATGTATTCGAATAGAAAATTACAGAACATCCTAGTAGAATCTGAGAACCGTACAGTAAATACCTCATTTCCGAGATATCGGTCACTTGTCTCAGACTTCATTATTCCTTTGTTTTCACATCAATCATTCTCTGTTCTCGTTCTCTTTTCTATGGTCTTCTTAACTTTCTGCCGCCAGACATTTCACTTTCGATTTATGACACATACTACTTACATCTATCGATATCAGTAGCACACACCACACTACAACTTAAAAATAGCACAGTTAGAACTTCAATTATAGTTTAAAAAGAAAATATTTAAAATTAAACTGACGGTGACTTGTATTACCAAAGTAAACAGTATGATTTTTGACTGACATATTGATATATACGTAAACAGGAACTTGATAAACTGTCTATGGATAGTCCTAGTGTATAACTACGATAAAAAGTTGTAAGAATCTCATGTATTGTACGTATTGATTAGATATGCTTAAATTTATTTTAGTGTTACATTATTTTATCATGTGACTAAATCTCGTGTCAGTAATACAGGCTTTGATTGATGTTATTATGAAACATTAGTTTAGTAAGATCCAGAAAGTAATTTAATGGATATATTTTTCTAAAAAATAACAATTATTAAATTTCATAGACTAATTCACTGAGTATAATTAAAAATTGGAAAACAAAATTCATGAGCTTGAAGTATACAAAAAGCTAAAGATATGTAGAAACTGTTTCACGCCTACATTACCACGGATATTGTTTTTGACGAGGTATGAGTTGATTGAAGGCAGACGACAGTAAGCCGTGGACTCACATTTTTGGCTATTTGACACTTTTCAGTAAAGCCTATCTTTAATCTCGAAGAAAATGGTGTTGCCTGCTGGATTCAATGTCGTGTCACTCAGATTCACCATTAAAAAAGTTACTACAGAGCTAATTGTAACGCTATTGGCCTTTTGTAAGACAAAGATATTTGTAGTCGATTGATTAATACTAGTTATTACTCAGTGACTAATTAATTGTATCTATCGATGAATAATGTACAGATAATTGTTTATCATTGACTTCATCAAATATTCTAATTACATGTTCATTAAAATCATTAGTCCCGTTTTAAAAATTTTAATTTTGTTATAGGGACTGTTATGTATTCGTGCTATACACTAATAAGAATTTGTTCATATATATACTTGTCAAGCCATCTACATATAAGAACTAAATGAATGTTAATTAAGTAGTTCAATAAATATAAAGTGATAATTGGAAATCAGGGAAAGAAAAAGAATACCATATTGTATGGGAAGTATAAAAAATTGACACATTACCATAAGGATTAAAATGCATTAAACATTATCAGAGTAAATATGTAACATTCCTCAAATCAATCCCGTCTTTTCATTACACTATCGAATTACATCTTCTTATTTGTTGTAGAAAAGTTTGTTATCCAGTTCAAATCTAAATTCTAATACGAACTAGCAAGTATTAAAATCATATTTCGTCAGAATTGTACACATACAATCATGAATGATGTAGATATGATAACTTTAAATTGATAAGTTCGTTTTCATTTATGATTTCGAGCTATTCATCTTACGACGTGGCAATCATTCCCACTCTTCAATAAAAAAAATATCTTGACCCCAGGATGATTTAACATCAATAGTAATAAGTTCTCAACAAAAGATTTTCGACAAATCTTAAAGTCATTAGACACATGAAGATATAAGTATATTGTCTAATCGAGTAGTATGCAGAAATCCATTTAACCTGTTTTTCATTATGAAGTAACATCTTACCTGACAAATGGATTTAAATTTAGTGATTTCAAAAAACTAAACTCTTCCTAGGTCCCATCCGACTGACGCTCTTGAGAGGTAGCTAATTAGGACGAAACTACTATTTAATTAACCTAAGTTTGACTTAAAATAACTACAAATTATTTAATTTAATTAAAATTTTAAACGTCCACCTGATTTAACATAAATTATTTTCATAAATCTCGCAAGTGGTCGAATGATATTAACAATCTAAATTAATATGGATAAAAATATAAATTCAATCTATTTTAATTATTCTTATACTACTAATAACTCCTATAAATCCCAAATATTTTTATTTTTTAATAAAGTAGTATTGAGCAATTTGAAAGATTTCATACGATGACTAGGTGATGTAAAGAACAAAAAAGTGATGATGAACTAAAGAATATATATATATATAAACTAGGAAAAACTTTATAAATATTAGAGAGATGATATTGACTATTTTCTTAGAATAACGGGACAACTATGAGATAAAAATATGTGCGTACACCCTCTCATTTCATAAGTTAAAGATACCTGTTCATCAGTGTACTTCTTTCATTTATCAAGCGTAAGAAATAAAAACGTTTTTATAGCTATTTAAAGAAAGGTGATAAAACATTAAAATCAAGTCAAGATTTATTAATTGGCGATATAATTATCTAGTCACTTGGAATTTGACCATCGTGCAATACATTCTGATCTACATATAACTATATAGATTTAAGTACACATAATTTTATTTATTTATTTATTTGAACACATAAATATTGGTACAAGAGAGCGCCAATATATATGTGCCACAAAAAACAATGAGGATTCGAAGACAAAAGAAAAAGTAAGGAGCGTAAAAAAAGAGAACAATAACGAAGAGATTGGTGTAGGTAGTGTAGTGATAATAATAGTAATAATGAGGGAACAGAAAGATACAATCAGAAGAAATCTTTCAGTTAAGGGACACACAACCACTTTTTATGAAGAAAGTAAAAGAAGGTTACAGCAGGATCGCCACTGGCTTCTATTCTGAGCCATATCTGATAACGTCTCTAGCCACTGTGTAGCACCATCTCTCGGACTTCAAACAGGGAGTCGTGAAGGATCAACACAAGCCAGCCCTTTGCAGCTTTCTTTCATACCACGACACTATGTTATACACTGACCACCTCTCCGCTTTTTACAACCAGTCCCAGAGTCGGTAAATAATGCACGACGTGAAATCCTCTGGGAGGACATTCGTAGAACATGTCCAAGCCACCGAAGTCGATGTTTCAAAATGGTGACACCAACCGGATTATCGTCACTCAGCCCGAACACACGATGCCGAACCTCTCTATTACTAACATGGTGTTGCCATGGAATTTCAGCAATCCTTCGGAGACAGAGATGATCAAACACAGAAAGTCGTCTAACATTCTAAACTCGGAGAGGCCAGGTTTCACAAGCATAGAGCAAAACTGCTCTCACAGACGCGTTGTAGATTCGACTTTTTACAGCCAGACTAACGTCACGAAGGCGCCAAAGATGGCCCAGATTGGCATAAGCAGCTCTGGTTTTCACTATGCGTGCATTGATCTCATCACTCACACCCCCACTAGCACTTATGCAGCTACCCAGATACACGAACTTCTCGACTACGTCTATCTGCTCACCATCCAGGGTGAGTACAGGATTGAAATCCTGCCAGTTTTGTAGAAGTACTTTACACTTCGAAGGTGCAAAGCACATACCATACCTACGGACACTGATTGCCAACTGATTAAGTGCGGATTGCATGCCTTGGGCATTATCGCACAGTAAGACAATATCATCCGCATACCCAAGGTCGATAGGTCTTTCTCCAGACAACAGGTCCACACCGCCATTACTTACATCCATCAGAGCTGTTTCCAGAATGTCATCGATGGCAAAGTTGAAGAGGAATGGTGAGATTGGGCAACCCTGCCTAACCCCTCTGCTCGAATGGAACAGTGGAGAGAGGTGGTTGTATGCCCTCACTCTGCCTGAGATGTTTGTATATAGGGCCTTTAGGATGTTAATAAACTTCTCAGGCACACCCTTCTTCAGTAGACAATCACAGAGAACAGTTCTGTCTAACGAATCGAAGGCAGCCCTGATGTCAAGGAACACTATGATTGTTGGCCAGTGATAAGTATGACGATGTTCTAACGTTTGGTGGAGGGTGAATAAATGATCAATACATCCTCAACCAGAACGAAAACCGACCTGCTCCTCGCGAGTCAATCTTTCTCGGGTTTTGAACAACCTACGAAGTATGACGGAAGCCAATAGTTCGGACGCAATTGGAAGTAGACTTATCGCCCGAAAGTTGTTACAGAGACGACGTGAATCCTTTTTAAAGATAGGGACAACCATCGACTCATTCCATGACGTTGGTACACTCTCTAGTTCCCAAACCTTTGTAAACAACGTCGTCAGTTCCTTAGTCAGAAAGTCACCACCATCTTTAAAAAGAGCCGGAGGTAAGTCATCTGAGCCAGGTGATTTGTAACACTTCAAGAGTTGGAGTTCATTGCGGACTTCTGCCTCATGTGGTGGATCAGTCTTCACCGGCCATGGAGGGCAGGACAATCTGACCGATGTCACTGGAGCAGTAGAACATTTGAACTGCTCCTCGAAAAACTTTGCCCATCGTCCAAGACGTCGATAGATGTTAGTGATTGGTATCTCGTTACCGCCACAGATTGTTTCGCTCACACCAGACTTCTTGTAGCCAGTGGCTCGGATGAGCTGGAAGAGCTTCCGGTAGTTACCAGATGCAGCTGCTGCTTCCAGCTCATTAGCATGCTCCGACCACCAGGCTTCTCGGTCCTTACGCAAGCTCTCCCAAATTTCCTTACGTAACATCCTTCGTTTGTGGTCAAACTCACGGTCACCCGGAGTAGACCGACGGGCTTCAATGAGTTGTAAGGAACCTGAAGAAACCCAGTGTTTGTAAGCGGGACGTTTTGCGAACCCACAACTGACTGTACCCATCATTTTCATGGCTTCATGCAATTGCAACCAATGCTCGTCTATACTTTTCGGTGGAGTGGTAGCTAGCCTAGAGGCTAACTCGGTTCGATACTTACTTGCAGCAGAAATTGCAACCAGCTTGCTAACATCAATCCGTTGATGGCGGTCACTTCGCTGGCCACTGAAAAGTAAGGTAAGATTGGCGCAGACCAAGCATGGTCAGAGTCCAGATAGGTACTCCAAAAGGAGCGGCAGTCTTGTACATAACCACGCCAGAAGTAGCTGATCGCGATCTCATCAATCTGACCGACTGTTAGTGGGGATTCAATCGATTAGTGTTGCCTCAGCTCAAGCTCTTAGTGTGACACTAACGCCAGCAAGACCAGACGAAGATGCCACAGGGTCCCGGAGTAAGAGCACGTAAAACAAGCTTTTCGAAGGAACAGATGAAGAGCGAATTTGTAGTACTTCACCAGAGTCTTGAATACGGGTCTCGGATAGACAGCAGACATAGATATTAAGACTTTCCAAAGACATATCAAGCCCTATATGTTGTCCAACCTGCATAAGCGTGCGAACGTTGAAGGCAGACAGTTTGAATGGTGCACGTGGTTTCAGAAAAACTGCTTCAGTACTCATATTCAGTGGTAACATACGATTTTCAACCGGACAGTGACTCGAGAACGTTTAGATACAGTCGAATTTCCACCAAAGACGAGCCGCTGTATAGGGATAAAAGAGGGTGAATAATGTGGTTAATAATAATAATAATAATAATAATAATAATAATAATAATAATAATAATAATAATAATAATAATAATAATAATAATAATAATAATAATAATAATAATAATAATTTGAATCATTTGATTGTTAGTTGAAGCAAGTAAAATAGTTTCCATAATTATAGCCAGTTCATCATATTTGTGTGTGGGCTGTAATACTAACCGGGTGCCCAAACCGAAGCAGGTGGTTATCTTAGAGGGCCACACCCCGAGCCTTTGACTTATAGGTCTAACCCACAAGGCAGCGGAGCATCGTAAGGAGATGCAGTCCCATGGTAGCCGGTGACCAAGGAATTGGTTCATACGCCATTTATTTCCGCAGGATACTGGAGCCCATGTGCACCATTGGTTTGGGGTCCGGTTAAAGCGCCGGATATTCGCTTTTCGTCTTCTCATTTTCGTAAACAACACCCCCGCCACGAGAAGGCAATGAGTAAGACTTCCCTGGCAGAGGCTATATACGCGTGGCCACGTGAGAGTATTTTGAGAGGAAGAGTGGAATCTCCCCATTCTCGGCCATACCAGGCCATTTGGGGGCATAAACATGCATATAAAATTTGTATGAGACACTACAACTGAAAACCATCAGACACAATCAGCAAAGATGGATGGTGGCTAGCAATGGAATCCAGAACGTGCGTTTCGTCCTATTTAGGACTCATCATTTGGATGTACCTGCATTTCAGATTTGATGTTCATTCCGTGACTTAAACCCAGTACTGTTAGCTTCAAGCGACATCGTGTGATTCACTTAGCTACTGAGTCCAGATAGCCAGGTACATCCAGCCGACGAGTCCCAAATTGGATGAACCGCATGTTCTGGATTCCACTACTGGACTCCATCCATATTTGCTTATAATACTTTTGACTTGAGGCAATATTTATGCAATCCTCACAGGATGTACATATGCCAATAAGAGACTGATAAACTGTAGTCCTAAACATCAATGGGAACATTCGAATAACCAATACAAAAATGGGCTAGACATAATGTTCATACTTCTTTACGATATCTTGTCAGTCAAAAAAAATAATAATTTTACTTAAAAAATATTTTAACAAATTTAACTTCCTTTCAAAGTTTTATAATTTTTTTACTTACCATATTTAAAAAAAGTCATCATTCGTTTAGGTGTTACCTTCAACTACCGAATATTAAAGGAAAAAATACATATGTTTCATCATCATTTTTAAACGAAATTGTTTTAAAAAGGTAACATTGCATCCTATGAACCAAACAGTTGAAACATGATACTTTCCATGACTTGACAGATGTCATCAACATAAATCTGAAAATATAGTAAGGAGCTTTAAGAGCTTCTACTGTTTCGTGCTTACTATTCAAAATCACATGACAAAACACCAGACGGAAACTCGACTCTAATTTGTTTGATTTTGCGTCTATTACTTCGTTAAAATCTCCATCTGTAGCTATTCAAGGACCACTGCCAGACCCAAGCTCGCTTAAAAAAGGAGGGTTGAGCGTGGGATCGTATAAATCTTAGTGGCATTTACTTCCATATAGGGGTGACCAAACCAAAACATGGCACAAATCTATAAAGTCATTGACAAGTGGACTGAGCCATGTTGGTAGATGTAGACTACCTAGTTGGGGACTGCGATATGATAGCAACCGATGGTTAGAGACCCTGAATGACATGGCTCAAAATCGTTTGCAATGGCGCTGGTGCATACACTCTTTATGTTATCCCAAATTTTGATCTCCTTATTCCTCCTAGTCTTTTCTTTCTTCCTAAATTTATTTCACTGTATTATACCCTTTAAATAACATATCCAAACACTAATTTTTCCGATTACTGCTTATACTCTTATTACCTCTACCACTACGGGATTTGAATCGACCACTGCATCTCTGTCTTAATGTGGTGTGGCAACTCGAAATGATGTAAGTACGTACGAAGTTCTACGTTGTTACTGATTGACTGACTGAGTCTAGTTATTCAGCAATTTTACAACAAATTATAATTGATAATAATTCGAAAACCAGTCCCATCTTTAACAATATTCACACCGTGATAACAATTGCACCCCAAACAGTTTACAACTTACCCTTGTCAATATTAGGTGTAGTGGACTTTTATCAATAGTTATGCTATCACTGTTTGGAAATGTGTTTTAAATGTAATTTTTCCCATTCAACTAGTTCTCTAACATATTTGAAGAACTATGCTACTCATAAACTCTTACTTCTTTAACAGCGCTGAATCTCATCTGGAGGTATGTGTAGGAACTTCAGATCTTACAGTATATTCGTAGTCAAAGAACAAAATTCATCCGCTGATTTCTGTAATAAGCAAACGTTTCAGAATATGGCTCCACTCTTCTTATGTTATAGGTATCATCATAGGGATAGATTCATATGAAAATGACAATTATTCTAATCAATCAGGAGAACTCTAAAAATGAACAATATAACTTATATTAAACAAAGCAAACTACTAAACCTCAGACAGCTCTGTGTCTTACATCGATCTTAAGACACTTCTGCAATCTGCGCTCATGATCAAGAATGAAAGTTATCTTTACACTGAAAAATATTTATATAAATAACTCAACTAAGTAATTATTGTGTCTAAAATGGTGACTAGTTCTGAGATGGATGTCTCAAAGTTATATAGAAAAACTGTGACTTGTAGAATTGGCCAGGTTGAGAGTAACTTCGGTTGATAAGTACAATATAGTATTCATATTAATTATTGACAAATTGATCTTGTATTTAGATGAATAAGTCGCTTCAGTCAAATAAAAAAACTCAATTTGTATATCAAACAGTATTCCCGAGAGAAAATTAATGAATTGTTATGTTTAAATTCTGGTATTAATGAGTTGTCTTTAAAAACTATATCACTGTTAGAGTTACAACTTTTAGGTGATAAACAGACCATTACTTTTTGTAATTACTGGAGCCTTACATCTATCTGTCCCTTAAAGGAAATATTTTTTCTTTGAGATGGCATTAAAGACTTACTTAAATGATTAAATAATACTGCTTTGCACTGTACTAGTTGATAGGTTAGTAATAAAAATTCATGAGTAAATGAAAGGAATTAATAGCTCAGGTGGAATATTCATTGATGTTACATCATTTTTTGATATGAATGATTTCATTGCGAAATGTTCATCTTCATTCGAAATATTATCGTCAGTTACCAAAGTCAACTACGATTTGAATTACCAACAAAAATTTATCCGGCTCTTATGATTATGAATGGATACAGGCCAACTAAAATTGATCGAATTTCAGTTTTAAAAATATCAACAACGGTATAATTCAAACCATTGTAAGTTAAATTAATACTATATGGTATTTATTTTATGTTAACATACTTAATACTATTATTTTCTCTTCTTTATATTTAGATGCTGAAGAATTTCCATTATCAGTAACGGCTGTTGGAGGTAGAACAACTTATGAAAATCCACAAAATCCTTATCAACTAAGTGTACAAAGTGGAGCCCCCACAATTAATACAAGTCAACNCTCACAGCGTGTGCACCCATGAATCTCGCTCGGGATCCGAACCAGAAACGTCGGTTTCGCGCGCGAACTCCCGACTTCCAACGGTTCGAATCTCTCGGTGGATTATGGATGCGCACTGCTGAGCCCCATACCAGGACGAATGGCCGTCCAGTGAGTCCAGGTTTTCCATGGTGGTCTAGCTATAATTGACTTATGAATCCAATTATTAAATTACTAAAATCTCCGCAAAACCCTCTTTCTGATAACAAACATATTTATTATGCAAAAAGTGACTGAACCAACACGGTCGTGTATTCGTACATAGATTATCTCAAAGCATATTCCACACAGAATTACACTGCAGCACGCTGATTGGTTCATTCATAGATATTCAGCACCAGCAGATCAATGGAGAGGCCCCTAGGAATTTCCTGTATAAAAATTATAAGTCTACAAGAATTTTCTACCGTTACACTTCACTTATCTTGGAAGTCTCATCAGCCCTTGTGGTCTGGTGTGTGACGAAATCTCAGCACGGATACAGAAGGCTCGACTAGCTTTTGCCAACTTGCGTCATTTATGGCGTAGGCGAGATATCCGTCTATCAACCAAAGGACATGTTTACTGCGCAGCAGTCCGTCCCGTCCTACTTTATGGCAGTGAAACATGGCCGATAAGGGTAGAGGATATTCGTAGGCTACTAGTATTCGATCATAAATGTCTTCGAAACATTGCTCGTGTATCATGGGACCATCAAGTAACACAGTTGTTAGGAAACGGGTACTAGGTAAGGATGGCAAATCAATTGATGAAGTAGTGAAAATTCATCAGTTGAGATGGCTGGGACACGTGTTACGTATGCCCAACGACCGACTGCCTCGACGTGCGATGTTCAGTGGTATAGGAGTAGGTTGGAAGAAAGCTAGGGGCGGCCAGACCAAAACATGGCACAAGTCCATGAAGTCACTGACAAGTGGTCTAAGTCATGTTGGTAGGTGTAGACTACCTGGTTGGGGACCGCGAGATGATAGCAACCGATGGTTTGAGACCCTGAATGACATGGCTCAAAATCGTTTGCAATGGCGCAGGTGCATCCACTCTTTGTGTTCTCCCGAATTCTAACCTTCTGAATTCTTCATATCCCTTTTTTCCTCTTTCCAAATTTATTTCACTGAATTATACTCTTTAAATGACATCTCCAAACCCTAATCTTCCCGATCACTGCTTACACTCTTGCTACCTCTACCACTACGGGATTTGGATCGACAACTGCATCTCTGTGTTAAGGTGGTGTGGCAACTCGAACTGATGTACGTACGTACGAAGTTCTACGTTGTTACTGACTGACTGACTTCTACCGTAACATCAACTTAGTAAGCTTGTGGTTTTATGAGAATATACATATGTTCCTGACCAACCCGTATTCCGAATCGGGAATCGGTAGTGTCCAAAGAATACTAAAATACAGTTATCCAACAAATGGCTGATGAAAGCTTACATTACAAAGAATACGAGTTACGCTATAACAAACTAGAGGTTTGGTAAAAAATCTAAATTATTACCACCACTCTATATATTTATATGTTACCACGATGCACATTACAAGATAAATATTTTTATCATAGTACTGAAATTGATAACAAATTGAATAGTTAATTTATCATTTGGATAACACATGACTTTTTCAGAATAATAATAATAATAATAATAATAATAATAATAATAATAATAATAATAATAATAACAATATTGATCATAATGTAATTTATTTCACCAAGTACAGACTTATGTAATCAGCTTTGAGATATACTTCAGATTCAAGGGATCGAGTGATGTTACAAACTGCCATAACCGAATTAGGGAAGGCGGGGTTCGAACCTGTAATCTGGTGTTAATAAGTTGAACATTCTAGCTACTAGACAACCACGGCACTGCTTTCTAAAAATCACAAGATTCATGCAGTAAGTTAGCTAAACAGTAAATATGTTCCGTTTCAAAGTAAGCAAAAATATAAAGATACAGGGCAGTTTGTGGAGATTGTAGAATTATCATGGTTTTAATCGTGAACTGATATGAACTAAACCATCATAAGAAACCCCGAAACACTGGACAACTGTCTTTTCTTCTCAGCAGTGAGCATCCAGGATCTCGACAAAACCTCCTATATAAATAATAATCATGTGCGTAGTAGTGACTGGCTTCAAGATATAACTTCTGGAAGTCTAGTGAGCTGTGTTCAGTGAAAATCAACTACATTGGATGTGATGATTATCTACCGAAGGCAATCGATGAGGGCTGTGCAATATTGTGAGTTTCTTGAAGTTAGGCATTATTACTGTTGGATGTCGGCGTCAGTGATCTAAAGGTAAAACAATCATGAATGATCCCTGGATCTGAGGTCATGGATGAGCACTGTTGAGGAGTCCCATAATGAGAAGAGACCGCTGTCCAGTAGTTCTAGGTTCCCAATGACAGTCCAACTGAGATAAGCTCATGATTAAAAGTATGAAAATGTAAAAATAACTGCGAAAAACAACGTAAGGTAAATTACCTTCCTTCTGTGAAAACCGCGATCTCAGATAGTTTGGATAACACAAGTGATTGACTTAATGGTAAACTATCCCAACCTGGACCAGATAAAACAGGAAGACCACCACCACGTGAGATTGATGAACCCAATGTGGAAGCATTATATTTTTTATATTCCATATATTGTAAGCATTCTGGTAGAATGCCAGTAGTATGACGATACCAAAATACACGAAATTCAAAAGCTAATTTATGCTTTCCCAAAGGACTCCGATGAACAAGGTGAATAAAATACGCCATCGCTATAAAAAAGCCCAAATTATACACAGAAAATGAAACAATGCTATTGAAATTATTATTATTACTATTATTATTATTATTATTATTATTATTATTATTATTATTATTATTATCATTAGGATTAATATAGTTTTCAGAACCCATTTAAATTGTGAATGACAAAAGCAAACATCCATATCAACCACTGCAAATTATCATCAGTTCAAATCACGGTTTCCTGTGAACGATCATCACTAATTCAGTTTTTCCTCCCAGCCTTATCAATAAGAAGTATCTTTCCGCGGTGTGGGGAACCAGGAAGTGACAACTACCTTCATATCCGTAGCAACACGTGAAATCACCTCGGTCATAACCAGACGCCATCTTCACTAAATATCACTTCTGCCAACTCTCATCTTCTGTATTTGAATTCCTCAACACGTTCTGTCAATACTAACGATTCGGGTTCACAAAATGCCATTCCAGATCACCTGAAACCTCGCTTCGAACCACGTGTTTCAGCTGTAATGCCCGAACTCTATGTCCAATTCGAACAACAGAGGTCACTGGCTATGATCCTAGAATCTCGTTCCATCGATTTATGATGTTTATATGATCCTAGCTTGGTGATTTATTTGACTTCACCCACCCAATATAGGGAGCAAATGTAATATACCCTTTATGTATCTAGAGACGCGACAGCAACTCGTGATCTTTCCGGTATAGATATAGCAATAAATCTGAACAAGAATTTCTTATCGAGATTCCCATCAACAGTTGCTTATTTGGTGTCCATCTCAATGGTAAAACAGAAATTTAGTTTCCTTCCCATATTAGGTTTATCAATAAGAAGTATCCTTCTGTAGTATAGGAAACCGAGAAGTGACAACCACATTCACACCTGGCAACCAACAACGAAGCCTCGAACGACACTGAGACGGAAGTGTTAAGTTCTTCCTTTCTCTTAACACTTCCCGTCCAGCAAATAATAATCCGTTACATAAAAAATATTTTAGCATTACACAGGAATTTCATTAATAAGAGAACTGTGAAATAACCTTCTTCTGGGATAGATTTTTTCGGTCTTCTTGAAGGCGTAGTAGTGGCAACAATATCTGGTTCAACAGAAATCGGAAAATTTGTTGTCCATAAATGCACCTATGGTCAAATAAAAAGTGTAAATATGAATTAATTAGTATTATACAAAAACATCAAAACTATAAATCTGATATTACTCTACCAAACTGTAAAATGGTCTACACTAAGTCATTTACAAATTATTACAATATAATAGTGTGTGATTGTTTCACTGATTGAAATTATTGCATGTGCAACACTGCTTAGAGAAAATAAGATGTATATTAGACACGTAATAACTGACATTCTACAAGTCACTTTTTACCTGTTCATAAACATGTTTAGTGTGTTAGCTGAGTACAATGTAGTAGAAATAACTGATGATCAAGATGGATCGTCAAGATGTACATTTGAATTCAGGCAAAACAACAAATGAGGCAGAATAACTGCTGTTTTGACTTTATTCAAATTCGTAAAAGGAACTGATTGTATGAAAGATGTACATTTTCCATAAGATATTTTCCTAAAAACACAGCCTCGTCCCATCAGTGTAAAAGTAAACTGGAAGACCGAACAATACAGCTTACAGTACAAAATAAACAGCCCATGAACTTAACTTGAACAATTAGGGCTGCAGGACTTCGAAGTCTTTAATAATTTACTCGGAGATTGAATGGTGAAACAGTTGTCTTTACACAACAAATACTACTTTGAACTAAGCATATCAGGCTGACACATAACAATACTACTGAGTTGTATTGTATTACGCTAAAGGGAAATTTCAAAAACATCTTTTCCAAGTTGGTGCTGTTGACAATGAAAGTATTCTCATTAAACCATCCAAGTCTGAGAACGCAGAGTTACTTATGAAAAGACTGACTCTATGCGTATTCAAAGACTAACCAATCAGAATTGGTAGGTGAGTCAAGAAGGTTGCTGGAAGTTCTTCAGATAATTTAAATATACACTCCTCCTTTTTATTCAGTAAATTTTTTTAATTCTAATTTCTCTTTGTAAATATTCGGTTTGCTACTCAATCTCGTTAGTAAACTATTTGAGTGAAAAGCATTAGTTGAATAGGTAACAGTTAAAAAACACCAGATTAATTTTTAGAAATGATAATAAATCTCTCAGTTGTGTAGTTTACAGTATTGCTCTGTAGCATCTACTGTATAAAAGAAAACAATTATCGCAATTACATCAAAAAATCCAAGTCTCATTGATGAAAAACTAGATAAAATGTATGATGTTTAACACTGCTTTATGGATTACGGCAATATATAGTACCGCATTTACATCAACGTTATCCTGTATAAATGAACATTTTCATGAAACCCAGAAAATGATACTAATGATATTGTCTAGAAAGACAACGAAGAACCTAAAACTAAACTAAACTTGTGTACTTATCTTCCAGATACACTTCAAATAAGTGGGAAAGTGATACTAGCCGTTTGGTAAAACCGAAATGAAGCGGAGTTCAAACCCGCTGCTTAGTGGTAGTAAACCGAACCACTATTGCTTACAAAAACACAATATCTCCCACAAAAAAGATATTTATTTTTCGAAAAATATTTATAACATGAAACCGACGGCAGTTGTGTTAGTTATATAATATTATTAAATGTAAGTCAGTAAAATTATGAAATTTACAAATTACAGCAAACAAATGTTACTCACCGAAAATCAGAACTGTATGTTTAGACTACATTCAAATATACCACTAGACAGATAATGAAACTTATATTAAAACAGAGTATGCTAAGTAATAAAAAAGCTTTTTTGTCCTATGCGAAACACACTTACACGATAGACGCTTAAAACAGATTTCATTAATTGGAATTCAGTTTTCTCATTGGTTTGCTTACTGAGAATAAATCTTTCAGGAAATTCGATGTTTTCTTTATTCTCTTCAAAATGATGATTATTATTAGTGGTGGCACTAGTATTATTGTTACTTGCATTACTGCTTGGTAAACAACATTCAACTGGTTCAGGCAACCATAAAGGTCCTAGTAATAATGGTTTTAAACGTTGAAGTCCACGACGATGAGCTGCTTCATACTCCGCAACAGATAATTTTTGACGCAATTGCTTCATTTCATCAGGGATCGGGCCATCACCTTCTTCTACAGCAACACCTTCATCATCAGATAAATAGCCGTGTGGAACAAAGAACTGATCATCGTCATCTTCATCACCTTTTTCTTCATCATCGTCTTCTTCTTCGTCTTCATTCTGGTCCGGAAAATAAATACAATATACTAATCAAAACCCATACATTGAGCATAGTTGGTAATGGAGATGTGATATAAATGAAGTAACGAATGCAATAGTCAGTTAGCCTGTATACAACGTTTTGCACTTATTTATTAATTACGCGTGATGTGAAAAAGGCTAGTAATGCACTACTTGATTCTCAGAACCTCAATTATTGTAATTAATAGTTGAAGATATTGAGTGACATGGTTCGAAATCGGTCGCAATACATTGGATTTATTCACTTTTTAATAAATAAGAACTTTCGTCTCAATTTGATCGAATAGTCTCACAGTATTTGGGTGCCGAGTTAATGTGAGATATTAAAGAGGAAGAATGTATTTGTAAAATCTCAGAGAAACGTTGGATTTACTTCAAATTCTTTTGCTGAGATTTTACAAATACATTCTTTCTCTTTAATGTCCCATTCACTTCCACAAATTCATTTTTTCGCGAATCACAACATTTATGTCTGATCTTATCTGCTATCACTGATGCAGTTACTATTTCTACTACTCTAACGCTTTTCTTAATAATTTTATTTTGTTGTGACGTGATGTGGTAACTTAAACTGATGCATATATGTACCAGGTTTTACGCTGCTCATGGTTAACTGGCCAAACCTCAACAGCTGGAGGGTGATACGAAATCGTGATTTAACAGCTGGATGTTGCTGAGTGCTTGGTGCGAATGAGCCACAGCTGTACACGTTGGATAAAGTAATATTCTTGCATACTCTCTCATTCTCTTTTTCGTCCTATAAAGGTCCTATTTGAACTCCGGGATAATAATAATAATAATAATAATAATAATAATAATAATAATAATAATAATAATAATAAAGAACTAATAATAATAATGGTGAGACTGGTGGAAAAATCTTACAAAATATCAAACAGTTTCAATCGCGAGTTATGTCAAATTCGACTAGAACTAACCACATTAAAATTTGAGAGGCATAAAAATTTATAGTTGTCAAAGGTAAAAAGTCTAGTAAAATGATGCATTTTTGGATTGAATGAACAGGAATGAAAATAGAGTGGACATGAAAATTTTATTGCATAAGAAGTGAACCAATAAAATAAATTAAATGACTATAAGACTTCAATAAGAATTTCTTAAACTTAGGTTTCATTTGAATTGATACTCACAAATAATCTTGTGGAAAATAATGCTGTCTTCAGAAATTCGAACCTATATCACGGGTGGGAACACGGTATACCATGATATCATAATATTTGGCTAGGGGAGCAAGTTTGCAAATCAAATTTGCAAAAAAAATCACCAAAATAAACTGAATAACATTATAATGGTCGAAATTCACTGACCGAATCGCGGAAAGTGAGATAATTTAAAATGAACACGTATCGATGCCAAAACACCAATAGTTCGCCTCAATGAATAACCATGCGGAATCAATGGTTTAATCTCAAATGCAATTTCTCTATTAAAACAAAGTTTGTTTCTGGGATCGGCAGTATAGATTTATACCAAGTTTAAAATATTTATTTATTACGATTGGGGTTTTTAAAACTATTTGTAGTTTTTAAGGTCGTATCTAGACATCCTACGTGTAGTAGATGTATTTTAAATCTTGCATGCTCCACTGAATCAGAATACAGACTTAAGAAGCTATTCTCGCTGGATTTTGTTCTATCTTGCCAGTAGTTTAGAATGTAGTAAACAATTCAGGTTTACCATTTATGTGAATAGTTTGGTTTCACATCATGACAGAGAGAAACTTTTTAATATGGAAAAGCAGTTACTATCTTGCACATTCTTCCGGTATGCTCAAGATGATAATCTTTCAACGTTGATAATTTTAGCATCTATGTGTAACTGTCATACAAAAATACATCATATGTAACAGAATAAACTGTGCAAAAACGGCATGGTGTACAAAATTTTCATATAAATAGCAGGATGGACTGGTATTTTCCCAGCAGATGAACTAAATAATTAAAATAAAAAGAATTAATTGAATTACAGTAATTCACATGGCACTACTAATGTAAGTCAATAAACAAATAGTTAAGAAAAAATTCGAATGGAATTCAAAATGTTTATTGGTCAAAAATGTCACATATTACATAAACGAAATAAGACAAAATCAACAAGATGAGAAACAAGAAACGTAACAATGTCAGAAGTAGTGGAAAGTAATTAAACATGAAGACTGTAATTTTAAAGAAACAAATAAACTCTTGGTATGAAATGCACAAAATGATCATATGAACAATGTAAAGAACAAATACGTTTACTTCACTTCAAAGAACTGATTATGAAACCTTTCAACTCACCTTTCCAATCATATCAACTACGATTATTTTAAGGCACTCAATCAGAAGATCTACACCTGTCAATATGCATGGAGCTAACAATCAATGACTTAATGGATCCCAGACGTCTTAGTCTAATAACGTTAGAATTTTTGCTAGCCTATTATCAAGACGGCCAGTGTAGCGCATCGGGATAGACGACAGTTAACTATGAATAGCATACCTCTACTACTCTTCAGTCGATGAAGGTTAACATTTTCATTACCCAAACTATCACACACATACACCTAGAAGTCAACAGAAAGAGATGAGATCGAAAATTTTATGTTTTATCATTGTAACAAACGGTCATTTTTTGTGTGAAAATAACTAACACATCTAAATTCTTTCGAGTAGGCGAAGAAAACATTGATAAGGCTAGAGATAATTTGCAAGCGAAAACACTACATGTGTCTACCCATTATAAAAAAGTACTGGCTATATTCAACTAAGCAACTTGTAAAACCACATATAACTCGGATCACAATTAAAATCACGTGAAATTACATTGAATTGATTACAAAAAAAACAGCCAAAAAATGGCGTAAAAATAAGCTGAAAGACAAAGTAAATAAAAGTCTACCATTCAGTTTATCAATCTAAAATAAATGTAGCTTCACTAAAATTTATGCCAATGGTATGTTTAAAGCTTTAACTTATAAAATCCAGTATTATTTCACTGTCAAATAGTAGTAACCGAATTATTAACCGGTGCCTAACAATTTGACATAGATAGTTTTCAGACTTAAAAATTAAGGTGTAAACTTTTCCAAATATTGAGCAAAAAGACCCGTTTTCTATCTACACTGTATTTTCACAGTCGTAACATTTAAATGAATAAATACATATGAAATTAACTGGAAATTTTCTTTTTGTCATTTAAAATAGCAAAAAACAATAAAGTACCAAAAATTGTGAGTAAAATTTGACCAAAGATATAAAAAGAGGTTACAAGAATAACGAATATAACTTTATGGATTGTTTCCTACTCATTAATAATCCGTTTTCCGATTTCGAAGTGTCCAGTCAATAATCTGGAATATATACTACCCATTGGACAGATCTATCAGTGCAAATGTAAAGTACATACTATCGAGCATCATACTTTGTTATTTTACGTTACATATTGTTCTAACAAAGCAAAACTGTTTATTTATCATTTTTAATGAATTAACTCACATCAGACTGCGTGATACTTTCACCAGGTTCTTCTTCTTCCCATTCATCATCTGAATCAATGGAATAATCAAGTTGATAATCATCACGAGCAAATGGTCTGCGCCCAGTAACAATACAACTACGACGTCGCCATGTACCATAATATGCAGGTCGATAATTTTCAACGAATTGGAATAACTTTGCACGTAGCCATACTGTTCCACCACTACCACGATTACCGTGTTGTTTTAAAGCGATCGAGTTTATAACAGGATAGATATTATCTCCAAGATATTGAACTTCGGGAGGTTCACTAGATATGAAATACGAAATAAGATACTTTCATTCATAAAGCGAGTAGACAATCACCATATTTAACAAAAGTAATAAGTTTTCTGATGTGCTTTCTTTTTGAATTCGTGAAAATAGTTCCCGTAGACAACGGAATATTAGTCCCTCGTCTAACATTCTCTGAAATTATGAGTGCAGACTGTTTCAAACTAAAGTAAAACAGAGACTTAGTGTTTCATAGATTTTGATGGTGCTTCAAATTATTTGATTTGGAGATAGAAACCATAATTAAACTAAAAGAAATTGCAAGAGCTACCGAATTAAAAAGCAAATTGATCAGGAATCTTATTTACCACCAAGAGAGAAGGGAATAAAAAAAATATTGAGGAAGCATTGTCAAAAGTTACAAATCAATAGCTGTCTAAACTTAAATATAGGCTATGGACAGTGAAAAAGATGAAAACACGTCACCTTTCAATAAAGGGGTAAACGCTGAGAAACAATATAAAAGCTATAATAGCTGTTATTCAGAATGATAGTTTTGAACGACTACTATATGGACAAGACTAAACTTTAAGTGTGAATTATTGCCTATTGAAATCAAAAACGGTCGTTGAAAAATTTTGTAGTTATTTCAGTTGGAGCTAACAGAGAGAACTTTGGAAGACATTGCGACGAAACAAGGCGTTCATTAAACATCGAACAACCATTCACAGTGCAGATTACTGATGGGAAATCTGTAGCCGTCAGTCGTCCAGTGAATCATCCCACCATCAGATTATGACAAATTTCGCTGTATTCGAAGCACACCGAAACACAACAGGACCAAATGATGGATAAAGACAAAATTAGTGTACTTAACGGTAAACTCCAGATTCTAAGAGTTATGTTTGGGAATTTAAATGTCTTTGGATTAATAATTTTTCAACAAACAACTAACACGTGGGACAGCCAGTTAGAAATAATCAACAAAGAGACAGACAAAAATGTGTGTCAACGAAAGCTGCTTGATAAGGGTGAACTCAGAAAGATAGATATAAACATAGAGCTCGGTTCTAACAGGCGTTGGTCTAAGTTGTCATATCACATTAGGTCGACGAAATGAAATTAACAAGATGTACGTCAGAGAAACCGAAATAATGTAGCAGCAACCATAATAAGGAAGAATAAACATTAATAATGTGGTTCGCAAAGTTGATGGGAAGGTGTGTATGGAGGAATATTGGAAACACTGATCTATAGAGGTAGCATGTGAATGCATGCGCGCCACTGAGATCGACTGTGAGCCATGTCACTCAACCACTTCATCCACGTGTAGCGGTTATCTTACGGACCGCAACCAGGTAATCTACACTTAGTAACATGGCTCCGACCAGCAGTCAGTAAGGTCGAGTGATACCTCATTTTTGTTTTGTTGCTCCTCGCTGTTTTTCAACCTATTTCTGCACGAACAAGCATGACTTAACGAGGTCATAAACACCTTAGTCGATGAAGATTCACTTCTTTATCAACCGACTTGTCCCTATTCTCAACAATACCTGCTTAATTGCTCCACGATCTCTCGAAAACATCTATGGTCGAAAGCCTGCAACCTACACATGTCTCCCACCCTCATAATCCATGTATCAAAACCATCGAGTAACAGAACTTAGTAGGAGATTAACCCCTGAAAAGTCGAGTACATTGTTAATTTAAAGCGAACATCGATGACAAGATTAAATAAAAACGGAAATAGTGATTAGAACTGATGAATCCCACTTGAATTTAACAGTTCTGATGACAGTTGTTCAATTGTGTCTGAGTAAAGCTTTCATAAGGTTCATCTACTTTGATACTCCTTTCAATAACAAACGTTGACATAAAAACCCTATGTCAACAGAGTCCACTGATGTCTTAAGTTAAAAAAAAACCAATATAGTCCGGTGTCGGTAAGCATTCCCATTTTCGAAAACTTGAAGAGTGAATATTTGGTGTACCCAAGCGCGTCCACTTCTAAAACTGGCCTAGTTTCACTCGGTTTAGTCTTTACCAGAACAAATTAAGTGTTGGGTGATTATTGAAGCTGACATTTTAGACATCACATTAATCAAACTGATTCCTCTGTCGTTATCACAAGAGGATTTCTGTTCCTTTTTGTAGATTATAATGGTCAGTTATCGAGACTAGTCAGATTACGTCTAATTCTCAGAGTCTAGGTAAGATCTCAGTCAACTTAGACACTAAAACTGAACCATCATCATTAAAGACCTCGGGTCGAGACATCAGAGCTTGAAGCTTTCTCATTTTAGATTATATATAACCTCTCCAAATTCATTAAGGGTCGAAGAACTCATGTTGATTTGCCATCCAGGAATCTCGATAAGAAATTCTTGTTCAGATTTATTGCTATATCTATACCGGAAAGATCACGAGTTGCTGTCGCGTCTCTAGATACATAAAGGGTATATTACATTTGCTCCCTATATTGGGTGGGTGAAGTCAAATAAATCACCAAGCTAGGATCATATAAACATCATAAATCGATGGAACGAGATTCTAGGATCATAGCCAGTGACCTCTGTTGTTCGAATTGGACATAGAGTTCGGGCATTACAGCTGAAACACGTGGTTCGAAGCGAGGTTTCAGGTGATCTGGAATGGCATTTTGTGAACCCGAATCGTTAGTATTGACAGAACGTGTTGAGGAATTCAAATACAGAAGGTGAGAGTTGGCAGAAGTGATATTTAGTGAAGATGGCGTCTGGTTATGACCGAGGTGATTTCACGTGTTGCTACGGATATGAAGGTAGTTGTCACTTCCTGGTTCCCCACACCGCGGAAAGATACTTCTTATTGATAAGGCTGGGAGGAAAAACTTTATTAGTGATGATCTTAGCGACCTGAGAGCGTGACCACAGCACCCAGGGGACAACTCTTTGAGGCCGGTTACACATCAACCTTTTGTGAGGAGTTTTTGATGTGTTAGCTTCATATTTCAAAAGTCCCGACCACGGATGTCAAAACTCCGTAGAATAAGATGAGGTATTCTAAGTTTAGGGTAAGTCTTTTCTAAACCCTTTTGTTTTGAGAATGAAGTACCGTTATAGGTGATGGTTATTTGAGCGGAACACATTACTGTCGTCACACCCTTGTGCAGTCAGCAGTACAACTATTTCCTTGGACCTTAAGTTGCTGTTTTTGGTCTTACCGTTCTAAAACCCACCTGAACGGTATGATAGGACTTAAAGGAACAAGTGTTCCACCCAATATAGATAGATTGGATCATCCCAATATCTAACTCCGATCATCATGTCAATGTAGCAGCTATGGTCAGGAAGTGAGCTCAACATAACCAAATAGATCTTATCAGTTTCTACTACCGAAGGTGTCAAATGTGAATACGATATACTAAACGCTCTCCAAATAAACACTAATTGTTATGGTCGTTCACAGGAAACTGTGATTTGAACTGACGATAACTAGCAGTGGTTGATATGGATATTTGTCTTATATATAAGACAACGTACATTGGCCAAGTACTTGGATAAGATAATGGTAATATCTGTCCTGTTCGTAGTTCATGAAGATAGTTAGCACGTCCGAATTTAAGTAACCCAAGTGATGATGCTGTATCCTTTTCGTTTCCGTTTACCCATGCATGTCGTAAGTTTTCCATGTTGCTTCGTTTTGAGGAAAGTAAAGCCTGTGACATTCTATGCAAAGGAGCCATTCTCATATCTTTTCTGACTTCAAATTGTATAAATGGTCCACAGTCTGTACAAGAGATGGTATTGGTTTCCTGATAAACAAATAAAATATTAAAGGGAAATTACAAGACCTTTTTGCTTTCTGATTTCACAAGAAATCCTAACAAAACCGCCCGTTGTTTTTCTTCTCTCTGGGTTTTTAACTCTTCTTCCCTTTTCCTTTCTTGTTCTTTTTGCAGTTTTTCTTCCTCTTTCTTGCGTTTTTCTTCCCTAAAACAAAAAATGAGTGTTAAATAAAGAAGATAAACAAAACTAAATTCGAATAGCATGAAACATACTCCTTCTTTTTACGTTCGTTTTCTCTTTCCTCTTCCTTTTTGCGCTGCTCTTCCTTACGTTTCAAACGCTTCTCTTCTTTCTTACGTTCTTCAGCATCTCTCTTTTCTTGTCTCTCTCGTTGTTGCCTTTCCTAGTCAGAAGTGTTTAAATAATCGAAAAAAGAAACCTTCTCTAATATTTTTTGTTTTTTTTCTAGTTCCCTTTGATGCTCTCTGGCTATACGTAAACGTTCAAGTTCAGCGCGTTTATGTGCCTTTTGATAATCTGTGACGATCTTTTCAGTTGATTTCTGTGTAAGAGGATTTTTGAGAAAACACGTCTATACAAAGTATTCAGATGTAAAACCCAGTAATGTAATATTAACCACATTTAGTAAAAATAAAACACAATAGCAAAAATTGATTACCCAACCACATACTTCGTATTTTCAGTAATCTTTCATAACGATACTTTCGAGGAATAATATTCACTGTAGACACAAGAAAATATCATGAATTCGCCACAAAACGTGCCTTAGTATGGATCAAGCTCTTACACTAGAATACCCGTTAAGTAACTGTTTAGTCATCTATTTCCCTCCAAAATAAGAATTTTGACAGCTAGATAACTATAACTAAATATGCTTACTGGTGCCTATCTTTGACAGCTTCGCGAAAAATGATCAGCTAATCTTATGTTTTAACTGTGGACAATTGCAACTCAGTAAATTAAGTATCAGTCGGCAGAAATAGGTGAACACCTGGTTCTCAAAATGGGATTTCCTGAAGTGATGCAAACATCATAGTTCAGGACTTAGAGAAATTGAACGAACAAATATTGGCATAAGTAAACTGTTTTTTGTAAATATTACGTGAAAAATCCCAAAGGACATTCCCCCAGTACTAGCAACCATAACAAAACGCTTCGGTAAGATATTCCAACTAATTAGTATATTTTTTCTGGATATCATTAGAAACGGAGAATCCCCAACCTGTAATGCATATACTACTAGACAGTAAAAATGATCGATTCATGGACAGGTTAGATACTACATTTGTCCATGATTGGCGGAGTATTCAAACAGTTTGATATCAGTAAATTCCCAAAAGTATGTTTATCCTGAACTGTCATTGTTTCTTTGTAAGGTCTCACCAGGTTGTCTGGTATTCGCCACCCTACAACAAGTCCCAAATATATACTTTTTACCATATGACTAAGGCATTTCATAACTGAGTAAATAGGTACTTATTAAGTAATTGCATAAATTCAAGCCAAACGAACAACATAACTCATTTCCAGTCTTTTTCCACAAATCATCAACAGTTGTGTAGTGACTTAAAAAGTTTAGCAAATAATTGGGGCTGTTTGGCAAACGTATCCTGGGAATCTTTTGCATTTTCAAGATTTACGTTTGAACAGAACACAGGAGCTTGTAATCCAGCATACTTACTTACTTACGCCTGTTACTTCTCGTGAAGGAGCATAGGCCGCTCGCCAGCATTCTCCATCCAACCCTGTCCTGGGCAATCCTTTCTAGCTCCGTCCAGTTGTAATTCATCGTTTTCATATCTGGTTATATTATCCGACGCAATGTGTTCTTTGGCCTTCCGCTTTTTCGCTTCCCTTCAGGATTCCAAGTTAGTGCTTGCCTCGTGATGCAGTTTGACGATTTGCGTAATGTATGTCCTATCCATTTCCATCATCTTTTCCTAATTTCTTCTTCAGCTGGAAGTTGGTTTGTTTTCTCCCACAGAAGGCTATTGCTGATGGTATCCGGCCAATGGATGTTGAGTATCTTGCGTAGACAACTATTTATAAATACTTGTACTTTCTTGATTGTGGTTGTTGTAGTTCTCCAAGTTTCAGCTCCATACAGTAGAACTGCCTTGACGTTGGTATTGAAGATTCTCACTTTGATATTGGTTGAAAGTTGTTTTGAGTTCCATATGTTCTTCAATTGTAGGAATGTTGTCCTTTCTTTGCCAATCCTTGCCTTTACGTCTGCATTTGAACCTCCTTGTTCATCGATGATGCTTCCTAGGTATGTGAAGGACTCTACATTTCCCAGCATACATAAATTAAATTAACTAAGCTCACCAAGACAAATATCATTACTGATCACATACAGCTTGATATGGCCAGTCTTGAGGTTCCCCAAAAAGAAGCATATGGGATGACATTTAGCTCATTAAAAGTCAACCACTGTGACGAAGATAAATTTACACTTTATATTCGGAAAATCTTGATATTCGATATTACTCCACATTTCTTACTGAGAACGTTATTTGCTTCGAATCATGTTTGTTATTATTATTCTTCCTTAATTTGATTGATAGCATCATATCTTGACTCCTATGCTACTCATGTTGTTAATTAGACCATAAGCAAACATGAACATCCATCAGTGAAGATTTAGGTCATCTCCTGCTTGTTGTTCAAACAATGCTAGCTTTTTAAATTATCAAACAACTACACCCTTAAGACAATTCGAAACAACTAAGAAAAGCATAATAATTATTAGGTAACGAATAATGAAATGTAAATCCATACCTCTCAATAAATGTCAGATTCAAAACCCTAACAATTCTTTTCAATGTAATTTGAGAAGCAACCTCAGCTATAAAGATGAATAACCAACTTAAAACGACATGAATAAATTAATACATAAAAAAGGAGGGAATCGTAACTAGGTTAAAGTGACTGTCCTGTAGTGTGGTATACAACTTCAAAAGTACCGTGTACAGATGGATGACGCTAGCAATATTTTAAGAGACCAGAACAAAAACGTGTCCTTAACTGGAATTTTTTATGAACTTAAATATTCCTAAGACCTTACAGAGTTAGTCCGCTCCATAGCCAAAGAACCAAACTTCCCGCAAATGAGACGGTACACCGCCAAGATGTGCAAACAAACTAATAAACTTCAGGATTTTAAATCACCAGATAATGAAAAAAATACCTCATTCATCTGAAATAACCAGAAACTTGTATAATGAAATAAAACTATCCTGTTGCGAAAGTAGTTAATCCGACTCTCCAATAAGAAGCAAGTTTGTAAAAACAGAAAACTAAAGGAAAGAAACGGTGAGGCAGTGTATGGTTTAGATGGATTCATTACATCAATTTCGCGAGCTCGGCTTAATGTAAGCAAATTACCTTCGTTTCTAAAACCAAATAGCTTTATGTATCTCCATCATAAGCTATTAGTAATGAACTCTTGTTTTACTTAACACACTCTGTTGGGTTTTTTTCGATAAAAATTCACAAAAATCAACGTCTCTCTGTGAAATTAGTGTTTGCCTTGATGCGGTATTCTCGATCGTCATTAATTCCATCCGCATGATGTTGGAACTTTCAGTCTTTGGTAGGTTTGCGTTTAGTATGATTGTGCTGTGTCCTATGAAAATATGAAAGGACCTGAGTGAAAAGTTGGAGGTAACGTAAGACAACCACTAGGTAAGAGCATTTAACCCATATATATTTGTTGGTAAAAGCACTCAACAATTACTATCATTAGTACAATAGTAAGATTGAAGCAACTTCATAACCGGAAATAAGAGTTAAAGTTTCAAATGTGTCAAACTGTGAAATTCGAACGATATATATATATATATATATATATATATATATATGACAAAGCTCACAGTATATTGGCGAGGAATGGATCACCTTACATGGATGGCCCATAGAGTGTAGTCTCAGACGACGACGAGTTCCTTTGTTGTGCTTATCGACGTTTAGATTTGTAGAGCCAGTAAAATGTCAATGAGTCCTAGCCAAATCATCTGGCAGTTGGGTCTCTGAGTGCCGAACAATTCACCGCTTCTCATCAACGTGAAAGACAACCAACTTGCACCAGTTAATTGCACGCCATGGACTGGCCCATGCTGGTGGTTGCACTTTGTTGTACCTACTCTTACCAATATATTTCGGTAATAATGTTGCTCGTGCCGTATGGTCGTTAAAGCAGTGGTAGTACCTGGATATGACGGAAGGGTAATCCATTTTTTAACTACCCTCGAGGTGTGTTTTCAACGTCAGCTGATTGATCACACCATCGCCGTCTAACCTGGGCAGGCCCTCAAACATTTGGCGCAGATCATCTTCATTAGTGATCTACACTGGCAATGCTACGTATTTAATTCAAATTACTTTTGCATCCATACAAATTTTGTCTACAACGTAACACCAAACCAAGAAATAAATCAACAATACCTTGCATGTAATCTAAATTTGAACTACTGTTTATTTCAAAACTTCATTATTTAAAAGGCAGAGTAACCCAGGCGAGTTTCTCAATTTCGTTAGGTTATTTCGTATTATGTTTATGAGGCCTAATAACGTTTTGTATTTACTCTAAAATTAACTCGTCATATATTCTGCCATTCCCGTCAATTTTTAATGAAAATCATGTATATGTATGCTTTGTAAGTAGACCTATTGTGGAAAAAGGTATTGCGTGTACGCAAGCGATCTCAGCCAAAGTTATAACCAAGTAATTCATCGTATTACCGTAAGTAATATGTTACGTGACGCTAGATAACAAGCTTTCTGCGTAAGCCTTTTACGAAACGGTCACATTTTCTGCAGCTTTTAAACTTTGATTACAATAGTGGTCACCCTTCTTACCGATGCAAACAATACGCCGTGCATTGACTCTTATCTTACACGGCAGACAATGAGCCGACTTCCTAATTAAATGTACGTCGTCTTGATCCCGCTTTTCGTCTATTTACATGCATCACGGGTATAGGGTTCTCCACAAACCCCACCATAGTATTCGTATATCTTTGAATTTACTCATTCAACCGTTACACAGATAACGTCCAAACGAACGATCGGCGCAACTGTCAAATTAACTAAAACAATACACTGAAATTCTTTCCGCAGCACTTAAATAGACAGTCATTTATTTATTCTTTCTCCTTTCTTATATTTTAACCTATAATGTCGTTCATTGGTAACCACACTTTGTGTTCTTCAACCTTCCTTGTTGGAGCTTTCGTTGATCAAGGCTAAAGATGTATCTTTCATTATTTAATTCGCCGTTGCATACAGCCGAACTACTGACATTATGGTCGCGTTTCTCCGAAGCAAATGTCACAGTACGGTCCAATGTACAACTGTTAAACTCTGTCGCCTTGGAGAGAATAACGGAAAACGTGCAGATAACTACATGAAACAAAATACATGAGGATATTTTGATCAATTAACAGGTATTACTAAAAATTCATATTAAGGTGCAGAAAGTTAATTAACGTTGCAAAAACACGCAAATGCATATTACAGTCTGTAAGCGTAGAGAAAATTAAATGAATTTGACATATATAGGGCAATTTGTGAATAGTAGTAATGATCCAAAAGGAAACGGATTAAACACTCAGTATTGCAACTAGTTCCAGGGTGTTTGTGATGCTATTTATTTCGTCACTCGGTTGATTTAGTAAAAATTGATGTTCATATAAATAGGTGACCCTCACCGTGTTAGCAATCGGAAACGAGCTTAAAATATCAGAAACTTTATAGCTTAAGCTCACTGTAAGTTTCCGAAATATTTTCCCTGTTGTTTGACAATGGAACTCAAAAATTGGAAATTAGGCAGACAGTGGCCGGAAGAAAAAATATTGGAGGATAGTCCATAATTTAAAACAGTGAAACGCTAAGTGAAAAAACAACATGAAGTATTGGGTCCAGATAACCATTCGGTCCTTGCTTACGTTGCTAGCCATTGTCTATTTACATCATTTTAAGACCTTATTTGCTAGAACTTGGTGTTTGACCACATTTATTTAGCTGAAGCATGTAAATGCTATAACTCAGCCTGTGACCCTTCTAGAGTCACTGCCGGTCCAAAACCCGGATAAAGGAGTGTAGAGTTATGGTCTACTATGATATTAGTACTGCTCTAATAATAGACCTAATCCTAAAATTATAGATTAGGCAGTTATATCATGACAAATCTACAATTTTACGATTAGGTCTATTATTAGAGCAGTACTAATATCATAGTAGAACATAATCCTACATTGGTAAGCCCGACTAAACAAACACAATCTATTATTGTTAATCCTTATTTCCAACTTAACCTCAATCGATTTTTATTTGTGTAAACCATTATTCTAATAGTCTTCTGATTAATGCTCGCATGTATTATCGTATTGTTATATTGATTAGTTCTCATAACATACTAGCTCAATCGATAGTAAAAACTGGTCGTCTATATTAAATATAGCTTCGATGGTTCGTTAACAAGCTTTAATAGCATTTACATGCTTCAGCGAGATAGTCTTGTTTAAACATCAAGCTCTAGCAAATATGACCTATAAATAGCGTAAATTTATATTGACTAGCAACGCAATCAAGGAATAAATAGTTATCTGGATCTTATTCTCAGTGTTCTCTCACTTAGCATATCATCCGGTATTAAACTATGCACTATCCTGCAATATCTTTTCTTCCGACCACTGCCTGCCGAATTTCATATTTTCGAGTACCATTGCTAAGCAACAAGGATGACACTTCTCCAAAAACATACGGTGAGTTTCAGTCGGGCTTACCAATGTAGAATTATGGTCTACTATGATATTAGTGCTGCTCTAATAATAGACCTAATCCTAAAATTGTAGATTTGTCATGATATAACTGCGTAATCTATAAGATCTTACGTGGGAGTCACATCATCGTCTACACCAACTCACTGTATCGTAACAACTACCATTACATGATAAAGAACAAGCTTATGCTAGAGAAAGAACAATTTAGTATGAATAAAAGATATGAGATGATATTCAGCAGAAACCATGCCTCCATGGCCGGGCCACGCCATCTGATTAATTTCAATTCCGATAGAACAATGAGAAGACGGAGTTGATTTGAAAAATGTGATGTATTAGCGCTATACATTTCGAACAATCTGGTCACACATATACTTGTCAGGGCATTTTTATATGAAGATTAATAAAGTTCAAACAAATAAAAATACAATTAAAATAACTGAGGCGAGAGAAAAAAAATAAGAAATTGTCGCGTTATCCTAGGCCATAGAATGACTTAAGGATTACCAAGGTAAATTCAAGGTTACGACAAATTGTTTTTGTACACATAAGGGGGGTTTAAATTTATGAATGGCCAAGGCTTCAATAAACTTAAGAATTCGACCTTGACAATTTCTGTACAACATTCTAAATGCTGTATTAATGTTGATTTTGTGCCCCGTCTCAATTATATGTTTTACTATCGATGAGCTTGGTTTTCTACCTCATACATTGATCGGATCATTTAATATACATTGATTTTGAAGCCATCTAGGCACATATTCATTGACCCTTGATTGCATTGTTCGATTACTCCTCCCTATGTATGTGTGTCCACACAAACATGTAAATCGGTAAATACAATGGGATGTGACGTAATCATTGGTGCATTGTTTGGGTCTATTAGGAATCATGACCTTAGACTTTTCAATCACTACCAACTGAGCAGCAAAATACGTATTCTCGATGGCTGCTTTCAATCTCTGCCTTAAGACTATACTGTTAGATTCGCCTCTATATGGTAGATTGATATAAACTTTTTTCTTTGGCACTGAATAAATTAGAGGTCTTGGCATTAACTGACTTTTGCACCTATTATTAAACTTCAGTGGATAACCATTTGCTATTAATGTGTCAGTCAGTAACTTTTCATCTTTTTCCACCATGTCAGAGGTACATATTCTTCGAGTCCTCTTAAAGAGGCACTTAACCAGACCTCTCTTGTATTGCAATGGACAGAAACTATGGAAATTTAAATATTGTCCGGTCCAAGTTGGTTTCCTATACACTGACCGTCTAACAGTGCCATCATCCCTTCGACTTAAAAGTATATCTAGAAAGGCTAATTGGCCATTACTTTCTGATTCACGTGTCATCACATTATCGTTTTGAACACCATTAAG